TTTTGAAGGATATATTTTCTTAATGTTGTGGGACCCAATGGGCGGGTGGGTATTTTTCGATGTCTTAAGACAGCTGCTCTTGGAATGAATGCTTGGACTTGAGATGCTGAACCCTCAACCCTAAACCCTAACCGTCTTACTAAGTCCCCGGGACCCTCCAAGTACACTGCGAACCCAAACCTGCAACTCAGCCTTCAACGCTCCAGATGGTGGCCTACTTGGAGGGTCAGGGAGCTAGGGTTTAGGGTTGAGGGTTTAAGGTTTAGGGTTGAGGGTTGAGGGTTGAGGGTTGGAGGGTCAGGGGGACGTAGTAAATAGGTTAAAGCTGCGAATAGTTTGGATACCCTGTGGCTTCTAGGGTTAAGACTATACTATACTATGATATACTATACTATAATCTACTGTAATCTACTATAATATACTATACTGTGCTACAATATACTACAGTCTATTCGTATTCCTGCTAAGTCCTCCCAACCCAGAAAGTAAGCGCTAAATACTCAGCAGCCGCGAACCCTAAACCCCAAATCTGAACCCGAAGCACTAAAACCATTTATAGTAGTTTCAATTTTCTTTTCCTATAACCCATATACACCAAGGCACTAAAACCTAGGTCGGGTTTAGGGCTGAGGGAACCAGAAATCCTAAACCCTCAGCCCTCAACCCTAAACGCGAACCCTCAGCCCTAAACCCTCAACCCTAACCCTCAATCCTAAACCCTAATTAAGGGCTTAGGGAGCCAGAAAGCTTAAGACCTATATCCTGAGCAGCCGGCAGGCCAAATCGCCTCCAGCATCCTTTCAACCGGCCGAGACTGCTGGCTGCATTTCATGGATTGCCCATGGATTTCGGGTTTGGGGTTTAGGGTAACCCCCCGCCTTCCCCCTCTGCCCCTCGAAGTCCCTCCGAAGCAGTATTATTCGAGGATGGCGGATAGGAAGCTAGAGGTTAGTATAGGGAGGGGTCGGGGAACCCATGAGCACTGGGAGCAATCAGTGAGTCTATGCAGGACCCCATAAAACAGCAAGTCTCAGAGTAGAGGGTATACAAGGTGGTGTAGCACAGTGGGGTATGATATTTTTGGAACGCCCGAACCTTGACCTTAACACTATAGATCCCTGTGATACCTTTTGGCGTTCCCAAAGGGCCCCTTCGTTCTGAGAACCCCCTTGCAGAGCCCAATACGCACCAATCAAGGAATGTATATATATATATATAGGTATATATATATATATACACATACGCCCTAACTGGCCTTCAATGAGACTAGGATTCCCCCAAAATCACCTGGGTGTCTTCCGGTCATAATGACGAGGTATCGGGCTCCCTTAAGGATTTAGGATTTAGACCTAAACCCTAAACCCCAAAACCTAAACCCTAAACCCTAGCCTCAGGGTTGTTTGAGGATGATGGGTTTGAGGGCTCACAATCTGGGATCTTGGCGGCTTCTTGGGGCTCCCCAACCCCAATTGGCTTTGGGGGGTGGGTTTAGGGTTTAGGGTTTAGAGTCCACTGACCCTCCAGCGTCCTTTTAGTTGGGGGGTTTGGGTTTGTTAGGGGCTCCCCCTAAACCCTATACCCCAAACCCTAAAATCCATAAACCCTGAACCATAAAATCCTTAAACCTTAAAATCCTAAAACCCTAAACCCTAAACCCTAAACCCCTAAACCCTGAACCCTAAACCCTAAACACACGATGATTGGAGGAGTTGCGGTCTTCAGGTTCAATCGTGTGGAGGACAGATACTAGCTTCCCTAAGCCCAAAACCTTAGGATCCGAATCCGTGGGATGAGAGCATTTTCGGGTAGTTTAAGGTAACCCCAGGCGTTTCAGGGTTAACCCTAAACCCTAAACCCTAAGGGTTTAGGAATTTGGGACCCAAAGCTCCAAACCCTTAAGTCAAAGCTCCAAGGCATGTGGCTCTTGCACAAACACCCTACTTAATCTCGAACATGGACCCCATGATCCAGACATAATCGGAAGGTTTTTACTTGGATATGTGGGGCTTATAAGTATACTCTGACGCCCCCCTGACCTTAGCTCCTAAATGATGTGGTAGTTTCCATTCTCTCTTCCCTTCCTATATATCCCTATATGTCCTTATAGATCCCTATATCAGCCCCACATATTCTCCTGAGCCTTCATATAGGGCCCCCCTATGTGGCTATTTGGTAGTTTCCCAAAATAAGGGGACCCCAATATAGA